TTCATCTCTAGCCTACCCCAACTTGTTTGGGACTAAAAGGCTTTGTTGTTGTTGTTGTTGTAATAGATCATCTATCAGGATATCTAACAGTTAGATATTCCTACTTTTTAACAACTTTTACTCTCTCCTATTCATAATAAATGTCGTTTTGAGAAGTTGCACAATGAGTAAGAATAATTTTTTTTGCCAATAGTAACCCTCATTAATGAGGATAGAGATGAATGTTTTGAGAAAATATGAAGAGTGAATATGAAAAGATGTAGTGTATTTATTAGCTAGATGAGAGTAATAATGGAAAAATATGTACAAAATATCCAAAACGACATTTATTTTGTTAATAGTTGATAATGCAAAAATGACATTTAAAAAGAATTTGAGGTAGTATTTAATTAGTAGGTCTTCTATTAAGTTGTCAATTATTTAGATACTCAATACTTTTTTTGTATAAACTTGCATATTTTTATATTCAAATATAATTATAAACTTCATTTATATTGCTTATAATTAACTTTTATTTTAATAATAATTTCTAATACTTTTTTTTAGTAAATAAGTATATTGTTTATAGTAAATTTAATCTCGAAACTATTGCAATAACTTTTATTAGTTAATTAATTAGTATACTGCTATATACTATAATGAAGTTCACCTAAGTATAATTATGAAGAATGCGTGTAAGTCATGTAAGGATTGAACTAAATGAGTCTCATTTGTTAAAATGTATGTGAAGCCATATCATAGCTATAAATAAGAAACAAGAGGCGTGTCCAATTCTTTTAAGTATACATATTAAAAGAGGTTGATGAATAACATAAAATAAATAACTTTGACTTTTTAACTAAATGTGTTGACTTACTGTTAAAGAAAATGTTGTGAAAGTACTTTTATATTTATAAAAAAATTAAAATCAAATTATACGGACCTGTTGTAAATCGTGCACTTCCTTTAATAGCAAAATTTTATATATAAACAAATAGTATCTATTTTAAAAATTATTTTGTGATAACGATCATAGTAAAAACAATCTATCAAATAGGTATTTTTTAGAAAATATTATTTGAGTATACATGATAAAACTGTAAATATAATTAAACAATAAAAATTAAAAATGAGTTATAAAGCCCGAACAAACCAACCGAGTCAAGTGAGTCTTTGCCATAGCAGGGAAGTAACTTTGCGTCCAAAGCCCGAACAAACCAACCGAGTCAAACCCATATTACGCGAATGCCATTGTCGGGTGTGGTGGTGCTTCAACGATTGAAGATTCTAGAGAACATTTCAGTGTAGTCGCTTTGAAGACATTTTTTTTTCTTAAACACACACATGAGGATTAATACTATTCCCCAATTCTCCTCCGATGACTCGAACTCGAAATCTGGGTTATGCCGAGCGAGGTATGCACCACTGCGCTAAACCCTCTTCGTCTTGAAGACATGAAGTTTGGGGATTGGGGGGATTAGTTCATGCCACCCGCACGGGTGGTGCCCATTTTCTCTAAAAGCCAATAAGGTATAGACATGTGGCAATTTTATTGCTAGTTCCACACTCAAATTTGCTATAGGAAAAATTAAAATAAAAACTTAGTTAAAAATACTATTAAAAGGCAAATAAATAAATAAATAATAATAATATTGTAGAAAAAATTATGTGTGAACCACCAAGAGTTTCAGAACAAATAGGAACACTTATAGAAATAATAAAGAAAACACAATTAGAAACATTACAAAAATTAGAGGAAATAAAAGAATCAATAAAAGAACTACAAGATTTAGTACAAAAAGAAAAAACGTGGAAAAAGTTATTTAAACCAATTCAAATAGAACCACCAACAAGTTCTAATGGATGATATAGATAGATTAACCCAATTATTTGAAAAATGCAATATTGAAGAAACTAGAATGGAAAAAATAGATGAAGAGGATAAACAAGGAATAATCTACGGAATAGATAGTGAAGATGAAGACGAACCAACATTTAATATGACTGATCAAAAACCTCATACAACACCACCATTATCACCAAAGCGGCCTAGAACAAACAATAATGAAGCATCTAGTTCACAAAATAATTACGTAGAAAGCAGTTTTAGAGATTTTATATACAGAAATGATTATAGTTATCATCAAGAAAAAATTAAGAAAAATATACCACCAGCATATTTAGAAAAAGAAAGAAATCTATCTAATGGAATACTAAATATAGATTGTGCAACTAATGCAGAAGATTTAATAGTCACTTGGACTAATCAATTAAAATTACTAGTCCAAACTAATGATTCAATGATAAATGGAATGACATTAATAGATTTTTACAATTATATAAGGTATAAAACATCAGGAATTTTATTTGACTATCTAGAAAATACTCAAATCCTACTTAATCTCGAAGCCAGTGGTTCAGAAACAGGAGCAGAATATAAAATAACAGCTTTAAGAGAATTAGCAAAAATCTATTAAGGGAATTTTTAGGAATTACAGGACAAGAGTCAAAAGAAACTAAAAAAGATAAGGTAGTTAGATTTCTAACTAACATGAAGTTATGTAATATATGTTAT